TCATATTGAATATGTGAATTTTTAGTATGAAATGGCACTCTTGAGCAGAGGTGAATATAAACCAGCAATATCATATTCAAGCTGAGTATGGAGATCATAATTTCCTCCGAATTATTCAGAAACTTTAAAAAAAAGTGTCTGGGCTAAATAAAGACCTGTTTTGCCCCCAGTTTTTTGCTCTGAGTTTGTCTTTAAAGGTACAAAATTAAGGAAATATTTAACTTGTCTGGAAATAAAAACAGAATCATAAAATAGGGTCCACTGGTGTGAAGTCAGGGAAGGTTTTGCTGTTTATTTAAGGGGAATCAGGGTGCTTAGACAAATTGCAAGACAATTCTTTGATGTACTTACCATTTATCCAGCTGAAGGAAGTTCTTCTCACAGAACTGAAAGGCTTTAGTAACCTATAAACCTTGTAAGAAATGACTGAGCTATAGCAGAAAATTAGTGCTTTTCAGATTTTTTTTTCCTACTTAGTCAAGTTTTAAAGATGTCTCGCTTGTCATATTTTAATTGGCTAGATGTAGAGATTAGTTTCACAGTTTAGGAAAAGCATGCTGATTAATGCTAATCCACATCTCCACCTTTGCACTTTGCATTTCTCAAGCATCTGTTGCCATTCCTTCAAATGGGAAACTGTCAGGCTATAGATAATGGAGGCTCCAAAACACTGAAATAATAACCTGCAGTAAGTGAACTGAAGCAGTTCCAGCAGGATATTGGCAAATAAACATACTGAACCAGCTATATCAGGAGACATGAAATGAGACAGAACAAATGCAGGCTGAAAATGTAATACAGGGAAATACATAGAGGAGATGAAGAAGATTACATTGCTATTTTATTATTTCATTCTAGTCAAGGTTGCATTGAAGAGCTTTGTAAATCAGTTGATTGTGCCTACCAGAACACAAGGACATCCAGTGTTTGGTTGCAAAGGGACATAATCTTTTGGAAACAAACCCTGGAAGCAAATCTGATAGTGTGAACATTGCAGTATGTGGTGGGTGTTGTGCTTTAACCCCTTCTGGCAACTAAGTTCCACACAACCATTTTTTTATTCCCTCCTGGTGGGGTGGTGGAGAGAATTGGAAGAGTGACAGTGAAAAAAACTTGCACATTAAGATAAATAAAGTTTAATAAGTAAAGCAAAAACCACACATGCAAACAAAGCAAAACAAGGAATTGACCCACCCCATCCCATGGGCATGCAGGTGTTCAGCCATCTCCAGGAAAACATGGCTCCATCACGTGCAATGGTGACTTGGGAAGAGAAGCACCATCACTCCAAACATTCCCCTATTTCTTCTTCTTCCCTCAGCTTTATATGCTGAGCATGATACATATGGTCTGGAATATACCTGTGGTCATTTGGGATCACCTGTCCTGGCTGTGTCCACTCCCAACTCCTTGTGCACCCTGAGCCTCCTCACTGGTGGGGTGGGGTGAGGGGCAAGGTCCCCCTCAGTTTCCTCTTCTTGAGACTAAACAAACCTAGCTCCCTCAGCCATTCATCATAAGATGTGTTTTCTAGTCTGTAGTGCTGCATGGGGTTTGGGGTTTTCTTTTTTTTCTGTTTCAAGGCATGCAATCTGAAAAGCAGTTGAAATTATATGGGAAAAGCAAACAATACATTTTTTTTCTAGGGCTTCCCGCATTGCACTCAAATAACTCAGTATTAAATCATCTACAGGAAAAAAACATGGTATCAAAAAATACTTTGTAAAAGAACTCCAGATTGCAACAGTGAAGTACCAGAAGACTAAGCAGGTAAGATGGGTAAGAATTTAACCACTAAGCAGTAGTGCTAAATATTTTGATTGTCTTTGTTTTCACTTTGAACTTGTACATTGTGCCTGCTATGCTTAAGCTGTACTTGATTTAAAGTAATTTTAAAGCATTTGTAAGTCAATTCAGAATCATGCTGTTCTAAATGAATTGCTATAATGGATGCATTTGGAATGATTCAAGTGTGTGGAATGCACAGTGTTGTTAAATAACTGTTCCACTTACTAATGTGACTAAGCTTTATTTTTTTATGTGTGTGTTTTCTTTGCTATGCATGATTGTGTTGTGGCTTTTATCCTGGTTTGGGTTTTTTGACGCCTTTTTTTGTGCAAGGGTGCTTGTTGCAGGTAAGATGGTTGTTGCTGGAGGCTCTCTGCATTAATTGAGAAAAAAACTTTGCTTTTTTTCTCTTCCCTCTTTTAATTAAAAGAGCAAACATAAAACTCCTTGGAACACTGTGGGGACTTCTAACTAAAATTTCTGTAAAACTCAAAACACATAATGAGCAGCTGCTGTGATCTTTGTGTGAAATATTTATGGAGATATCACCATTGGGCCAGAAAGTGTATCACATAATGGGATGGTTGATGTGCATGTGGGAGCCCTTAAAGTACAGAACAACAGTTTGTTGGCAATAAAATGTGATGGAAATCAATGAGGACTGGATAGAATTTGATCCAATAGAACATCTGTCCTGAATGCTGGAAGTAAGACATATTTGTGTCAGCTGCATACAAAAGCTACATAAGTAATGGAGAGTTGGAAACACAGAGGTAAGTTTTAGCACATTGCTACTCAAAGTACTTAGTATCCATGAAGACACATTTATTCCCAGGATAATAAAATTAAATAAAAAAGGAAAGGTATGTACACATTTCAGTTAGGTGCTTTTATATTCAACTAGCTTTGTGCTACTGTCTCGTATTGGCCTTTTTAACCACCAACGGACTTGCAACAAACATGGGTAGAGCCCTTCCCAAATCTTTGTTCGAGAAGCCCAGCCATGAAAAAGCTTTGTGCTAGTGGTGTTTCAATCTCAGCTAGAATATATAATTATATGCTATTTGCTAGTAAAGATTATTGTACTGTGAAGTTAATTTCAGGAGAAGTCACAGAAGAAATGGAATTGGTGCAGGAATGAATCTGGAAAACAATTGTGTGATAGGTTTAGTGGACATTCTATACAGTACCTTGCATATATATGTCATGGGTCTCTTGGAACTTACTCTTCCATTTGGAGGAGCTTGTGTTTTGCTTGTTGTCTTGTGGTGGCATTTGAGACTGAAAGCAGTTCAATTCTACACGGTATCCCTTGTGTACATAGAGGTCAATATTAAAGGTGGTACGGGCATAAGTCAGCTTCCTTCTGGAAAATTAGCAAACTAAACCAGACCAACAGCAGTGATCTAGTTAATTCTTCCGTTTGTTGGTTTGCGTAGTTTGTTTAGGTATAGTCAGTCTCTGCCAATACTGTGGCTTTTAAAATATCAGCAGAACCAGCTGCTGTTATTCTGTGCTCTGAGGAAAAGGCATGAAATCTTATACAGTGAATGGTTGGTAGTGTCTCATTTATAAAACTGTATTCTTTGAATAGATTTAGACTTATTTTGAATGCATTTTATTCACCTTGAACTCCACAGTGGTTTGCATGGATTACGTCCTGCCTCAATGTGTATTTTGCTGTCCTTCACTTTCATATTGAAATGAATAAGGCAAAAGATGATATTTACTAATTTTATCTCGTAGCTTTGTGTATGTCAGACAAAATATTTTCCTTACATTTACCATATTACATATTTTAACATGAGCCATGTGTTTCACTGTGGAGACTCTTCAGAGTGTTCAGGTAAAGCTCTGCTGAAAAGCTTCAGCAATCTGAAAAATAAGGTCACTTACTGAGACACCTGAAAGGACTATCTATGTGTGCAGCTGCCACACAATGTAGGGGTACCTGAGCTCCATTTTCCTCCTGCATTTATCCAACAACTCAGCTTTAGTGTTTGTTCAGGCAACTTGAGATGAATAGAAGTCTTCAATGTAGACCTCTTCAGGGCATCCCAAGCCTCAACTTGCATTAAAAAGCAAAATCTTCCATGATTGTTCTGTCTGATATTCTAAGTGTTTATTTGTTGTTATCACAGGGAGTCAGGTCTAGTTGCCCTTGAGTGAGTAATTTCTTTTCAGAAAGGATATTGGGAGAGTAAGAGTAATTGAGATAGATAAACTGGGACACTGAGACCCATTTCTCCCCCCCACCCTCCCACCATGCTTCTAAATTATTGAATTAACTACACTGTAGTGACTACATGATCTAACAGCACAAGACTATGTTGTTGATGCTCTCTTAAAATGATGATCCTAATGGGAGTTTATTTCTTCAAGCAGCAAATTCATTTGCTGAGATCAGCATATTGGTAGCAGAAAATTAAAATGAAAGTAAAATTGTAACTGTCAGCATCTGATGCAGAGCAATACACCAGTAACCATTAAATCTTATTTTTTTCTCTCTGCAAAGGGAAAGTGATGATCAAGATGACTGTTTTTAACACTTCCAATTCAGCCCTACTGCTGTTTGTTTTAAAGAATTACGTGCTTGAAAAAAGTTCCATTTCCCTTTTACAGTATTAGTCTCAGATTCTAGCCCTATAAAGCTTCTTTCAAAATTTGTTTATTGGTTTCATAGACTCAAAATAAGTTGAATCTGAAACATGGCAAGTCAGCATGTCTTTTTTAACTTGGTAAATTAAAATGTTATTGTAATACTGTACAGTTTGGCAGTGACCCAATGCCAAAACTCTTGACAGATGTTTCATGCAGTACTTGTGTCTTCATACCCAGCATGAATCTGAGTCTCTGTTGGGTACAGGCTGTGTTGGTTTGGTTTTGTTTTCTACATTAACAGTGGAAACTGGGAGACTAAACTTTTCAACGCTCCAGGGGTATAGAAATTTAACCAACACCAGTGCTATGCTATACTGTATTTTTTTTTTTAAATAATATTGAAGTTAATTTTAGAGAAAGTAGTAGATCTTTCAGAATGTCAGGTCTTTGGACAAAAGATATAAAACTTATATTTTCTTAAATTGTAGCTCTTAAAAAAATGACTTTGAACCCTGGAAATACATGCAAAATATAAAAACAAATATAGAAATAAAAACACGAAGGCAGTTTTTCTATTGCTATAATGGTTTTAATTTTTGATGTAATTCAGAAAAATGTTTGCCTGTTTCAGAAGGCCATTCAGAACATGGGGGCAGCCACATTAATTCAATCTGAAAGGATTGCAATGTCTGCACGAGGCTGATGACACTGAGACAGAGGTAGGACCTGCAGGAGGAAAGTTGTGTTTGGGACAGAAGTCCAGATTTTAGAATATGTAAAGCCCTGAGCAGTTGCTGTCTGTCTCAGGAAATGCCCAAGGTCTAGGGTTACCTCAGTTTCTGTTTGCAAGCTTCTACACATGTGCCTTTGGATAAGTGTTATTAGTTATACTGTAATGAATTCATTGTCATGGTGTGTTGCAAGTGGCTGGAAATCAGACCTGCTCCTGTTCTGATTTAACAAAAATGCATTTGACATGAATTTGATAATAAAGGAAAACTTATAAATATTGCTGAAAGAAAAGACATTGTGGTCCAGGCTTACCACCATGCCAAGCTCAGCATACAGGAAGCATTTCTGCAGCCTAGTACCTGCAATCTCTATGAGCAGCAAATACTGGATGGTTCTGTATGTAAGGGAATTTGCTGAACAGAAAAGGCACTAATGGGCTATCTGCTGCACACTTTCTTTCTTACATTTTTTTCTTCACATTCCATAACAGGCAAAACAACTTTTACTATTAGGAGAAAATAAAATACGTACAATAACACACAGTAAAATAGAAAATAAACAGAAGAAATTGAAACATATTTGTAAAACAATCATGTAAAGCGTGCTTGGAAAAGTGTTTCTGTGGAAATGATGTCTTGGCACTCCATATTTATTTTCTGTTGAAGCTTCCAGATCAGATGAGCTCAGTTAATAAGTCAAAGCAAGATTTTTCCAACAGCCCACACAGCATGCCCAGTGATCTAACTGAAATTCAAGCTGTGCTATTCCACTTTCTACATCATCACTAATATAAAGGCTCTGGAGTCAGATTTTCATTGGCAATTCTGTTCATGCATTTTACAAATGAAATGTCTTTCTTTTCCTTAATAACTTACCATAAACTTGATTTGGACACTGAAATCAAACACTTACATCACAGAAGGTAGAAAAGGAGAATATATGTGCAAACAACAAGGTTACTCTTTTCCAAAATCATTTCATCAGGACTGTAAACAAAATCTGGTTTGGAGAGAGTAAGAATCTCATTTCACAGATACCTAAAACAGATTCCAAGTGCCTATCCTGACTTTTGTCTTTCCCTTTTCAAATTGAAACTTTTACCTTATGGTATAGAGAATGACCAAAATCTCAGAAATGTGGACTAGTACCTACTTCTAATTAGTGCTTGGAAGTAATAAGAATATTTAGAAAGATGGTGGTCATTGTCATATATAGATTAAATCTCCATGCTGTGTTTAAAACATGCTAAAATTTTATGTTTGTTATACTGCAGTGATATTGAGAGACTGAGATACTGCGAGAGTACTGAGAGTGAATCAAAATAGAGCACCTTTTATATGCAAAGAAGTTGCATACTAAAGCAGTCCTATATTGAAGGACATGCAGGACAGGACTGCAGTTTTGCAGTAACTTCAAGCTGTATCATCACATTCTTCAAAAGTTTACCTGTTTCAGATGTAGCTTTAACCTGGTCATATTTCTGGCTTGATTTTCTGACCAAAATATTATGCTGGCAAAAATAAGTGGTCGTTGCAGATCCAAACAAAGGCGGTCGGGCAGGGGGAGTGAGTGAGGAGGAGGATGAAGGGATGACCTGATGGTATTTTGAGGACATCGTGAGAGCTCATTGTGCATTAGCGGAATGATACCCACCCTGCCATGGAGAGTGGGAAGTCTGGAGAGCATTAGTGCTGTATCTCACTGAGTCAAGATGTAAACTTGCTCATCTGTCATTTGCTTAATCATCATCATTGCTTAATCCTTAATTGTGACTTTTCATAGAATCATAAAACACCCTGAGTTGGAAGGGATCCACAAGGCTCCAACTCCTGCCCCTGCACAGGACCATTCCCAAGAATCACACAATGTGTCTCAGTGTTATCCAAACACTTCTTGAACTCCAAAACAAAGCAAGCTTTAAATATGTCTTCTTCGTCTATGTCCCTGTTTATGAGGTGATCATCCTCATCATGTGACTGGGACTGGCCAGTGTTATTTCTGCACTGCCTTTTGTCATTAACAAATTTTAAAAAGCTCTTTTGTTGTTCCCGCAGTACTGAACCACTTCAACTCAAACTGAGTTTTGGCCACACAAATTTTTCCCTACAGTGGTGAGCAGCATCTCTGTATTCCTCCCATGTCACCCAGTCTTGCTTCCACTTCCTTTTTTCACCTTAACTCCAGAATAAGGTCCCTGCTCAGCCAAGCTGTCCTTCTGCGTTGCCTGCTTGACTTCCAACATTTTGGAATTGCCTGCTCATGTGCTTTTAGGAGATGCTGTTGAAAACGTGACCACCACTGATGGACCCCAGCACCTTCTAAACCATTTTCCCAGAGACCTTACCACCTAGTTCCCTGAGAATCCTGCAGTCTGTGCTCCTAATATCCAGAAGGATATTGTGATACTAGAGAAAACGTCTTACAATTCAGTGTGGGAGGTAGTTTGTATGCAGACTAATTTTTAATTTTTTTTTTTACTAAATAGTCTGAGACTAACCAGTAGAATTTTTTTTTTCTCCACTTTAATTCTTTTTGATAGTTCTTGGCTGGATATTTTGGAGCAGGCACATGTGCCCTTTATGTATCAAGCAGGAAGTTTATTTTGGTGAGCTGCAAATATTGACATCTTAATGAAGATTATTCTTTGTGGATGGTGATTCTCCTTTCTTTAAACTTTAATTGAAGAAACAGAAAGTCTAAATTCCTTGTGATTTAAAGTTTGGGTGTGGACAATGTGATTTAATATCCAAATCACTAATGAATGATTCTTAATCATGGTTGGATTCTTGTTCTTTTGCCAGTTAATGACCAGCTGAGAGGAGTTAATGGTCCTCAGCTGCATCTTGGACCATTAAGCACTGAGGAAATTATTTAGTAAGCGCCTGCTGTTACGAATTTTACTATTACAAGCTAAATGTATTTTAATGTCTTCTGAAATGATTTTTGGTGGTGGTGGTGGTGCCGGTAGTGTTTTTTTCCCCAGAACTTGTTTCACTCTGTTATGTCATTGCATGGACTTAACTTTTTATTTGATACCACATAAATTGTCAACAAAGAAAACACCAAAATGAACATTCCTGCATGTTTAAAAATTGAAGTACTCAATACTCCAAAGTATTTTCTGTTATTGGAATTGAATTACATTATTTTTAATCTACTTGAGCAAGAAAGGGACTTTGTATAAAACCTAGTCTATTTTGGTTCTTCACAGGGTGTTTGGGGGTAGCATGAGGACAAGGATGGTGATTACATGTTATCTCCATAATTTGCATGATGCTGGTCTGTTGCATATTGGGATTGTGCAGCATTTAGGATAACTCTTTGGGATATGCCCACTGCACATAAAGGTACTCACTGTGTTATAGTTTTTTTCTTTATGTTCCCTTTTATTAATTATTTGCAACAGCTGTACAAATAAGTTTGAGATAAATGATCATGAAATCTTTTTACTGTCTCAAACGAATGGATACACCTAATATTAGAAAGGATAGAATGGGGATAAAGTATTAAATTTATTAATGAGTTTATCCTAGAATATTTCCTTAAAAAACAAGTATCTTAAATATTTTGATATTTCTTGCTATTGGCCCTAGAAATTGCAAAAGCTTTAGAAATTGCCCATGCTTTTTTTCTTTTCTTTTTTTTTCATAATTACTATTTAAAAATCTTAGGCCTTTCTTGTTCTATTAGTAAAAGAGGTAGTGTTTCTGCCCCGTAATATTACAGTATGTCTTCTTGTAGCAGACTTCTTAGTGAAAACCGCTTCCATGTTTCAGATTTCCCATGTCAATTCTGAAGGCAAAATGGATATACTTCTCATTGACTAAATCTTCATAGGTGACTTAATCAAATTATGGTTTCTGACAAACAAAATACAATGAATGACAACTTTGTAGTGGAAGTTCTATGCTGAGCTTGATGTGTAAAAGAGGTAAAGATGTTTTTGAACAGTTCTGCCCTGGCAGAATTAATTTTAAAAAAGGTAATGATATATAGTTTGTATGTTAGTAAGTGTGTAAACTTTCCAGAAACAGAATGGCTGTTGCTGCTGCTGCTGTTGTTCTGGTGGTGGTCATTATTATTATTATTAATATTAATATTATTAATATTATTATTATACTTCATTTACTTATAAACATCAAAAGTGTTTAATGTCTAGATAGGCCATACAAGGTTATTGTAGTGGGTTGGCTTTTGGATTTTTTAGGCCTTCCTTAGCAACACGGTCAGAAATCTAAGGAAGTATTCCATATCATCCCTTTCTGTAACATAACATATAAATAAGGTGCAGATAAGAGAGCTCGTTCTCTTCTCTCTTCCAGTGGCTGAAGGCAACAGGTCTCTCTGCAGACGGTCTTTGTTTGTATAGACCAGGGCCTGCCTGCTCAGACCTGCCATTATCTCTGGTCCTTTTGGGAAGTGTGGGGTGTTGGTTGGTGCTTCGCATGACTCTGCTGTCTCGTTCAGGGAAGTATTTAATTTGTTTTTGTTTTTTTTTTTATTTGTTCGCTAACTCTCTATTAGTGGTTTATATTTGTAGTATATTTGTTTTGATTTTTTTTTTATCCCTGTTTCCCCCTCCCTTTTCCCTTTTTTCCCTTCAGGAGCTCCCTATTGTGTGTACAATATATTTCAATTGTATATATAATTGTAAATATATGTAAATATATATTTTTGATATAATACCATTTTGCTTGTCTTCTTTCAGTTTTTCTGTGGTTCGTTTTCTTTTTTTCTCTCTTGAAAGAGCTGGATGGGGGAAGGGGACAGCTTAGACTTGGCAAGAGAGTCAGGCCAAACTGATACAGTTATATCTTTGCATATACTAAAATATAAATAAATCATGAAGTGCTATGAACAGTTATTTCTTTATTTAGAGCTAGGTAGACTTCTATAGTCCCCCTTACCAACTGATGACCAGCCATCTGCTTCTCTCTTTTACCTGAATCTTCTGGAGTTTTTTGAAGAAGTAAAAAGGTTGAGCTTTACAGCCAACAGTGTGTGCTGAAATATCTCCTACTGAAATAATTAATTACAGGTATATGAAGATGATCCTGATCTTGCATTGATGTGCAGTAACTTTCTAGAATGCACTGCAAAACCTAACGAGCTGATGTGTCTGTTATATCCAGGAATCATACAAACCACTGAATTAAAGCTTTAATCTCAAACTGCCCTTGAGATTAAATGATGCTGAAACAGAGAATTTAAGCAGAGCCCGAACACTCTTTTGTTAGTAATGGTTTCATTTATCAATCTGAAATGATCCAAAGATGTTGTAATTAAAATGATATAGTAAGTGTTGGGAGAAATAGTAATAGAAAACTATTGAAAATTTGTCTTAATTTTTTTATTACTATTATTTTTTATTTTTAATAAGCAGATGCGAAGGTGGGCTGGATTTATGCACACACCAAGTAAATTTTTAGGCAGCTAATCACAAGGGCATTCAAGACTGAGAAGAAACAGCCTCAAGTTGTGCCAGGGGATGTATTGATTAGATATTAGGAAAAAATTCCTCACTGAAAGGGTGGTCAGGAATTGGAATAGACTGACAAAGGAAGTGGTGGAATCACCATCCTGGGAAACGTTCAAAAAGTGTGTGGATATGGCAACTGGGGATATGGTTTAGTGAAGAACACAGTGGTACTGGGTTAACAGTTGAACTTGATGATCTTGGACATCTTGTGCAACCTAAATGATTCTGTGGATACATAAGAGTCTTATGTATTAGTTCAAAGCACAGGGGGATCTCCAGTGAAGCTGAATTGCACAGGTAATTGAATGGGGAGGTATGAATCTTGTAAATTACTTTGTATCCTCTACTGCAGCAGCAAAACGGAAATGTAATAATGAAAACTGTAATAGATAACACTGAAAACTGGCAACTGGCTTTGTTCCAAGAAGCCTTTTAGGCCCTCTCAATATACAGTTATTATTGTGCTCCTAATCACAGCTTTACTGAACTCCTTTATAAACTTTACAGTGTAAGTATTTAGCACATTTTAAGAGCAGTTGGCTATAATGTATGTCCAATAATATATAACTATGTAGGCTGTAGCATGAATAGTTTTTGCATTTTGTGGATTTTAAAGATCCCACTGCCATCTGAAAATCAAGTATTTCATCATTCATGTTAGAAGTCTATGGGTTACAGATGTTATGGCTGGCAGGTCACAGCTGCGAGTGTAGATCTCTTATTTTAAAACAGTAACAGAACCATGATAATTTCTCTGTGTAAGTAAGTAATGGATTGCATGGCTGAATTCATACACCAGATTCTCAACTTCATTCAACATAAATTTCCTGAAGAGTTTTGGGAAGAAGCAGTGTTGTCTTTTCACTGTGTTTGTAGTGACTAAGGAGCCAAGATCTGAAGTTAGCAGATCAACCATGTTCTCGCTTTTGTATGAAAAAATTGATTCTACAACTCCATGTCAGTTCTGATGAGGTACTAACTTAGGACTACTGGCATGCTTCAAATTTCTGCTGTGTGTTTTCCTCCTGCAGCAGCATATATCAGAAAATCATCAGATCAGTGCCAGGAGTTATGAAACAAAGCAAGACCCTTCCCTCTGCCAGCCACACACACATTCACTTTCTGGGTTTTGCACTATTTGAGGAGAAATCTTGGGAGAACTTGGATACAGAATTTTTCCACACAATCATGATGATTCAGTGAAATCTGTTTGGTTTACAGAGAGTTTTTTTGGTAGTTTCTTTGTTTTTTGGTTTGGTTTGGTTTGGGTTTTTTTATAAAATGTCCTTAAATATCAAGCAATATTCTGATATGTGTTGGAAAGTGGGTTATATACTCTCTTCCAGGGGCCGGCTCTGATGAAATCCTGACCACTTGGTGGGTCTTGAGTCTTGCCCTGTATCATGTCCCCTTCATCACTAGATGTTGTCGCATCCTGTTAGGGGCTGAGCTTTGAAGAGCTGAGGATTTGTAGTGTGCACACCTCTGGATCAGGTAGGAGAAGTTAGTCCTGAGATTTTAAGTTCTGGTCTGCCAAGACTGGGTGTTGCTGCTGTTGATGGAGCCCTTTCTGGACAAGGAAGATCACATTCTTTTGATTTGTGTGCAGACCTTCAGGATTAGTATTTGCTGTGTGTGGAGTCTTATCAAGCCTAGAGCTGAACCTCTGACATCTGATTCAGTCTTTCCTGACAAAGGACCATTTAACGGATATGGAAAGTATCCCTTAGAAAATATCTGTGGAGAGCAGGTGCTATCTTGAGCTGTATTGATAGGTGTCCTCCTAATTCCTTGTTCTGACCCTACAACCTAAAGCAATGTCCTGTTTTTCAGGGAATTTTTTTGAAAAAATGGGGATCTTTAGATTTAAAATACTCAAATACCTTTTCACTGGGACTGAGGTACTCACTACGTTGCCTTTGAAAATGAGTGAACTCTCAGAGCTCATTGGAGGTGAAAGTTGCCCATTCAAATCAAATATGTCTTAATGAACAGGCTTGCTTTTTTTAATTAACTCAGGTATATTCTTACTAGTTTGGCCAATATTGTGAAGGAAGATTGTCTGTGATGTGAAGAATCCTTGTAAATATTTGCTGCAACTCAGCAGATTTGAGGTTTGGGATGACAGTCTAAGGTCTGTTCCCAAAATTTTGTTTTGCAGAAATTATTTCCTAATAAACCTGGGGAAGGACAGCAGGAAAAAAGTTAATGGTCAAGCAATTTCTTATATATTAACTGAAATTTGATATATATTTACCTCCTAACTTCAAAAAACACCATGCAAACCTGTCATATTTTTGCTTCTGTTTTCTTACAACTAGGTAATATACCCATTTAATACACAAATTAGCCATGCAATTAGTGTAAACTCTGGTGTAAATTTATTACACATTGAGTTTCTGAAATCTCTCATGAACCTCTTGATAATACAGTTTATTATATTTAGAGTGTAAGCTTGTCCTTTTTGACTTTCACTTGTGCTCAGAGCTGTGACAGCTGCAGCACACAAAACACGGGAAGCCCTGCCGTTTATAGTTTATTTGCCTCAGATTCTGTAGCTGTGAAATAACTCCAACTATTTTTCATCATTTCCAAGAATAAAAGATGGATAGTTCATAGAAATAGTAAACATAGTTATTCACATACCTGTGTGATTCGTAGTTTTATGTAACTGACTTAACCTTCCTCAGTTTTCTCTTTCCTAGGTTAGTGGGGACTATTTGTCTTGGTCTTTCCCCTCAACCAATGTGACTGTCCTCTGAACTTTCTCTGGTTACCCTGTGAGGGCCTATCAACATCACATTTCTAATTATCAATGGTAGAGCAGAAAAAAATACCCATGCACCAGTAAGGAAACACTCAGAAGTCTTTCTGGGGTATCACAAATGTGTTTATTTTGTGTTACAGCACAGAGATAATTTTATATGTCAAAATATACTTCAAACACTAGTAAGTCAATTGCCAAGAATGAGATTCAATGAAATGTACTCCTACTCCTGTGACTTTTGAAATCTATTTTGGATAAACAGAACTTCATTTATTTGATGCTGTTCTGAGAAGTATTCAAAAGTAAATTAATATTTGCTGGCACAATTTCATTCAGCTCTAATTCACTGAATGTTGTATCTTTTCCTGTTGATGTGATGTCTCTACTACAGTTAATGCAGCCTTCAGACAGTTACTGACTGTACATGTGTCCAGTAAAGTACCTCCCGCACTACCGTACTTCTATGGAGACACATAGTTGTCATGACTTGCACCATCTTGAATGAACCTGGTTTATTTTCTAGACTTAATTGTTGCTTACCCAAGTCCCAGTTTATTGCTTATCAGTACTCTGGATTGGTAGTCACTATACATGTATATTCTAACCTTGACTCATTTCCTGACAATAAATAGCTTAATTAATTACATGTACTTCACTTTTTGATCAATAAAATAGAAGCAAAAAAAAAATAAAATTCAAACACAGAGAATGTAAAAATGCAAAAATGGATGGCTATTCACTTACAATAGCAAAAACCTTTAATTTGTAGTTGTTGACATCATAACCTCAGGCACCATGTTTAAAACTATGATATGTTTATATTTTGAATTTTATTTCTGGGAGCAATTGTAAGCAATTTCATTTTTTTTTATTTTTAATGACTTTACTAATAATGGAATCAAAGAGTGACTTGAGTTGGAAGGAAGCTTAAAGATCAGCTATTTCCAATCCTGCTGTTGTGTACAGGGACATATTCCACTTTATCAGGTTGCTCAGAACCCCATTCAACTTGGCCTTGAACACTTCCAGGAATGGGGCAGCCACAGCTTCTCTGAAAAACCTGTTCCAGTGCCTCACTATCCTCACAGTAAAGATTTTTTTCCTCATATCTAACTAAACCTACTCTCTTTTAGTTTGAAGCCATTCCCCCTTGTCCTGTCACTACATGCTCTTGTAAAAATTTCCTCTCCATCTTTCTTGTGGGCTCCCTTCAGACATTGGAAGGCTGTGATTAGGTGACCCTGAAACCTTCTCTTCCCCAGGCTGAACAATCCCAATTCTCTGAGCCTTTCCTCAGAGAAGAGATACCCCATCCTCTGGATGTCCGTCCT